TATTTTCAATTTCAGTTTTGATTTCAGAATAAGCAGCCAGAATTTTTTTCACTTGTCGAATCGGCACGTTCTTGACAACTTTAACAGTATACTTGAATTTTCGCATAATATTTACAGAAAATAATAAGTAATAAAACATCAGATTTTCTCCAGTTAGCGAAGCAAAGTATATCAGTAGAAATCTAATGTCGCTAAGGTAAATACTCCAGTTTAAGAAACCCAACAAGAAGCAAGTTAGACCGTACAAAGCAACCACAACGCCACCTCTAACCACAGCACAGAACATTAAAATTTTGGAAATTTGACAACCGTCATAGTGTTGAAAGCAAACTTTTTCGACCATATTTTGAAAATTATTTATTTTATTTGTTACGTTTTGGTTGTGTTTAAAATTCATCACAAATTGCAAAGTAATGAAATACAAGCACAAAAATATGTTTGTTAATACACCAGAAACTGAATGGTTAAAGTCGTCTCTTGGAGAATAATACAGTGTGGCTATCAATACGCATTCATAAGTAAACAAAACTAAAAAATTTATCAAAATTGAGCATTTCGTTTTCTTGAAATGTACGTTTGTTGGGGTGATTTCGACGGAATAGAAGCTCATTCCTGCAAATTTGCAAGCTAAAAGTACGTATTGGAAAGGGAGGACTTATTTTTGTTTCATAGTAGTCGTTGAAAAATTATATGGTAATTTGTGTATAGTAGTTGACGTACACTTTGTAACTACTTTACTCGTCCCATTTGTGAAACGCGCAAAGATCAGTGATAAGAAAATCAATTTTAACATTATCAACAAACATTTTTGTAGAACAAAACATGCGGAGCAATTACTAAAAAAGTTCAAATGTATATTGATCCCATAAGTTATCATGTTGGCAAAGTTGAGGGCTTGTTCTTTGTGTGGCAAAAAGGCGATATTATTTTCCTGTTTTTAAGCGAGTTAGACGTTAAACTACAGTCTACACAGTGAAAACTATAAAGAACTAGAAGAGAACATCATATTGATTGTTAGTCAAGTCAGAGCTTCCGATTTTTTTTATACTTACGAAACAAAAGTAAAAACCTAATGACAAACAATAAAAGTATAATATTTATACATTTAGAATACTAATTTGGAGAAGGTGGACAAGAAAATACAAATTAGTAAAAATATATTTAAGATATTTCATTTATATTATTGTGTTTGACTAAACTGTATTATGTAAATTAAATTTGTTGATACTTGACCTATTATCTACAATGTTCTTAGTAAAAGAACTTTACAACACTTTCTACTTACTAAATAAATTAAGGGCCAGTCCAGTTCCACTAGTCCTCTAGCTGTAAATTTGGCTCTTGATAATCGTGTTTGGAAAAATAAAAGCTCCATCTATAAATAAAAGTGGTGGTTTTGATATTTTTGAACAATTATCTCACCTCCTTGTAGTGACATGAATGCAAATTTTTTCGACCATTTTTTGAAAATCATTGATTTTTGAAAAAGTTGTCACAATTTGTTTGTGTTTAAAATTCATTACAAATTGCAAAATAACGAAATACATACACCAAAATGCGTTTGTTATTATACCAGAAACTGAATGGTTAAAGTCGTCTCTTGGAGTGTAATACAGTGTGGCCATCAATACGCACTCATAAGTAAACAAAACCAAAACATTTATCAAAATCGAGAATTTCGTTTTCTTGAAATGTACGTTTGTTGGAGTGATTTCGACGGAATAGAAGCTCATCCCTGCAAATTTGCAAGCTAAAAATACGTATTGGAAAGGGAGGATTAATTTTTGCTTCAAGGTAGTAAATTACTGGTTTTTCTAAAAATGTTTAGTTTTAATGTGTGTATAGTTCCACGATTTAACGTGCACTTTGTAACTACTTGACTGGGTAAATTTCAACCATTTGTGAAACCCAGACAAGATCAATGATGACAAAATCAATAAAATTAATTTTAACATTATCAACAAGCGTTTTCTTAGAACAAAAAATGTGGAGCAATTACGGAAAAAGATTATTGATCCCAGGAATTATCATGCTAGCAAGGTTAGGATCTTGTTCTTTGTGTTAGACGTTAAACCTACCAATCTACACAGTGAAAATAAAAAAGAACTAAAAGAGAAGCAAAATATACACAACCAAAAATGGTTTTAGTTTATCATGTGTTTAAACTGTATTAAATAAACAAGATGCGTAGAAATTGACGCAACCATCTGAAAAATATTGTTTCAGTTTGATATGGTTTATAATATGATTTCCTTTACTATGTATATTAAAGACCAGTTTAACTCCAGTAGTCCGTAGGCAGTAAACGTATTTTTTGTTAACTTCCCTTGTAACAGAACTAATTCGGTCTATAAAATTGAGTGAGAACTAGTACACGTTAGAGATAAAAATGTACCTGTTTGTAACGAAGCACATCAGTACGTTCTTCGCAAATTTCCATAGCTTCAGAAAACTGAAAACAATCTAGGATAAAAACGAGCAAAGTAATGTCAGACTAGGTTTACGTTTTGACAGAACGAAACGTAGGGCCACAGAAGCAGAAAACATTCCAAAATGAGATATCCAATCCAAACTGTGTTTCTTGTAACAAATGAATAATTTACATAGGGGTTTTCATCCACGAGAAGGGTGTATATCGTCGTTGGTATTTCTATTACCATAAATAATAATTTGAAAATAATATGAATCTCAGAGAAGCTTTGAATATCTTGCTTTATGTCAGTAACAACTTTCAAAATATTTTTGATATTGTTTGATTTAACTTGGTGCGTTTTGATGTTGTTGATTTGTTGTAGACTTTTACTAATTATCAGCAAGTACGAGTGAAGTAAAGTTTCCCCACTGATTACCACCGAGCTTACAAATAAAAGTTTAATGTACAGAAATATAATCGAGAATTCTGTCTTCATTGACCAGAAATAAACCAAGGCTACGAAAGGCATTGCTGTATATTTTGCAAAAACGTAATATTTTAAAGCTTTTGAAACGTCTGTCTCTGTGTGGGAAATTTTGACCACAAGTTCTTGAAAACAAAAAATCTTGTGGCAAGTTTTCACAATCTGGGTTTGTTTAAAGTTTAGTACACACACTGAAGCCAAAAAATAGGTGTAGTAAATGCAGTGCGCAATTTCTGTAGAAAATGATTCTATTTCGTCTATTTCGCCTATTTGTACAGAAGATTGTTGCAAGGTCGTCCAATATACGACAGTGCAAATTGTTATTATTGCCACATTTAGACATTTTGAAAACTTTGTCGTAGCGAAAGTGATATGGTTTGACGATTTTTTTTGGACAAAATAGGAAGTTAAGCCGCCACATCGACACATAAAAAACAAAATGGAGAGGTAGTTAATTGATTGATGCTTCATGGACATTGTCAAAATATGAATGGGGTTATTTTGTATTTGCAATGTAGGTTAGACTGCATTAAATGAATTAATTGTTTGTCTTAACGTTAAGTAAATGTTATGAAATAATAGAATTTTGTTAGTGACGTATTAAACCCTGGAGTAACATGAAGCAAGGTTTAATGCCACCGTTTGTTCATTTATTTTTCCTATGGAGATGCACAGGTTTGACTTCCTATTCAGTGCGGAAAATTTTTTCCCAAGATCGAATCTTCAAAAAAGCAAATTTGCCCGCTGTATGAACGTTGTATTATTTTGCTTTGATTTAGTCTGCGTTGTGAACCTAAATCACTGCATTTTGAAGAAAGACGAAGTTGAAATAATTTCTTCATTATTAGTCTATTTTATGTTTCCGCTGTATTGCACAATTTTAGTAACCATGACCAATTTGTAACAGACCCATATTGTGAAAAATTTTTGAAAAAGTTATAGTTTTTGAAAATTTAATCAAGGAACTTACAGGTGTTCACGTTGTTATTTCTACAACTTTAAAATATTACATCTGGGGTTGCCTGTTATGCTAGTCGTCTATTTGTACTCAAAATTGATAAAAAATGCAGTTAACATTATTGTGTCACTTCAAGTTTTTTTGTGCACATGTGAAAGTTATCACTGGGGAGATGTTAGTTTTCTCGTATTTAATGGTAGTGGTTAAGGGAAATAAAAAATTTAATTTATTTTTGAAAACAAATCAAAAAATCGAGAGAGAAAAAACAAAACGAATTTTGGACTTGTGTTTTGAAATAAAGAAAGATATTCAAAATTTTTCACTGATCTTTGGACTTTTTAAAGCGGTCTTTGCTATAATCGAGGCGGCGACCACCCTGTATACGATTTGGAGATATGACGGAAGGAACAGTTTTCTCGATGACGTGGTGAATCTACACTGGCTTCTGGAATTACTATTTCAAACTTACCTGTTTTTACTTCCACACGTTTTATTTCATAAAAATGTCACCTCTTTATAGCGACATGATTGAGTGATTCGAAAATCGCCACAAATAGAAACTGGTTCTGAAACCTAAACATCCAAATACAGATAAATATGAACACGTTTTTGATCGTTTTGAATATTTGTTTTACCGTCTTATGGGACGCTGGATGACCTCCTTGATTATCTTCGCAGTGAGATACTAATTCATATACCAAAAACGAAAATACGCAGATCTATTTTTTCAAAAATCTTAAGTTGAGTTTTCATGATGTAGGATAAATGGGTACAACAGCAGGATCGTTTCAGCTGCAAATATCAACATCTAACCGATCATTATAAAATAAATGTATATTTGTGAAGTACTGGTTATTTTTACTCTGTGATGGTAGATAAAAAAAGTATGAGCAGTTGTGGTCAGTTGTAGAACCAGATAAATCATTTTGAAAAAGACAGCTACTTGGAAGATCTTTTCAATTTCAGTTTTGATTTCAAAATAAGTAGCTAGAGTTTTTCTCACTTGTCGAATTGGCACTTTCTTGAGAACTTTAACAGTATAGTCAAATTTTCTCATAATATGTGAAGAAAATAACAAGTAATAAAACATCAGATTTTCTTCGGTCAGCGAAGCCATATATTAGCAGAAATTTAATGTCTCTAAGATAAGTATTCCAGTTTAAGAAATTTGGTTGTGTTTAATTATTAATTAATTAACGAATTATCATGCTGGCAAGGTTGGGATCTTGTTCTTTGTGTTAGACGTTAAACCTACCAATCTACACAGTGAAAACAAAAAGAACTAGAAGAAAAGCAAAATATACACAACCAAAAATGGTTTTAGTTTATCATCTGTTTAAACTGTATTAAATAAACAAGATGCGTAGAAATTGATGCAACCATCTGAAAAATATTGGTTCAGTTTGATATGGTTTATAATATGATTTTCTTTACTATGTATATTAAAGTCCAGTTTAGCTCCAGTAGTCCGTAGGCAGTAAACGTATTTTTTGTTAACTTCCCTTGTAACAGAACTAATTCGGTCTATAACACTGAGTGAGAACTAGTACACGTTAGAAATAAAAATGTACCTGTTTGTAGTGAAGCACATCAGTACGATCTTCGCAAATTTCCATAGCTTCAGAAAACTGCAAACAATAAATAGAATAAAAATGAGCAGCGTGATGTCAGACTACGTTTACGTTTTGACAGAACGAAACGTAGGGCCACAGAAGCAGAAAACATTCCAGAATGAGATATCCAATCCAAATTGTGTTTGTTGTAGCATTTGAATAATCTGCATAGAGTTTTTCATCCATCAGAAGTGTATATATCGTCGTTGCTATTTCTATCACCATAAAAAATAATTTGAAAATAATATAAATCTGAGAGAAGCTTTGAATGTCTTGCTTTATGTCAATAACAACTTTCAAAATATTTTTGATATTGTTTGATTTAACTTGGTGGGTTTTGATATTGTTAATTTGCTGCAGAGTTTTACTAATTATCAGCAAATAAGAGTGGAGTAACGTTTCCCCACTGATTGCCACCGAGCTTACAAATAAAAATTTAAAGTATAAAAAGATAATCGAAAATGATATAGTATCCATCGACCAGAAATAAACAAAGGCAATTAAAGGCATAGCCCCATATTTAGCAAAAGCGTAATATTTTAAAGTTTTTGAAACGTCTATGTTTGTCTGGGAAATTTTGGCCGCAAGATCTTGAAAGAAAATAATCTTGTGGCAAGTTTTCATAATGTGTGTTTGTTTCAAGTTTAGTACACACACTGAAGCCAAAAAATAGATGTAGTAAAAGCAGTGCGCAATTTCTGAAGAAAGTGATTCTATTTCGTCTATTTCGCCTATTTGAGTAGAAGTTTGTTGTGTGGTCGTCCAGTATGCGACAGTGGAAATTATTATTATTGTCGCATTTAGAAATTTTGAAAACTTTGTCGTAGCGAAAGTGATATGGTTTGACGATTTTTTTTGGACGAAGTAGGAAGTTAAGCCGCCACAACGACACATCAAAAACAAAATGGAGAAGTAGTTAATTGATTGATGCTTCATGGACATTGTCAAAACATGAATGCGATTATTTTGTCTGTGCTATGTAGGTTAGTGCATTAAGCGAATTAATTGTTTGTGTTAACGTTAAGTAAACGTTATGAACTAATAGAATTTTGATAGTGACGTTTTAAACACTGGTGGAACATGAAGCAAGGTTTAATATCATCGTTTGTTCATTTATTTTTTATATGGAGATGCACAGGTTTGACTTCCTATTCAGTGCGGAAAAATTTTTCCCAAGATCGAATCTTCCAAAGAAGCAAATTTTCCGGCTGTATGAACGTTGGATTATTTTTCTTCGATTTAGTCTGCGTTGTGAACCTAAATCACTGCATTTTGAAGAAAGACGAAGTTGAAATAATTTCTTCATTATTAGCCTATTTTATGTTTTCGCTGTATTGCACAATTTTAGTAATCATGACCAATTTTAAACAGACCCACATTGTGAAAACTTTTGAAAAAATTATAGTTTTTGAAAATTTAATCAAGGAACTTACTGGTGTTCACGTTGATATTTCTACAACTTTAAAATATTACATAATTGTAAAATGTCTGGGGTTGCCTGTTATGCTAGTCGTCTATTTGTACTCAAAATTGATAAAAAACACCGTTAACATATTGTGTCACTTGAAGTTTTTTTGTGCACATGTGATTGTTGTCAGTGGGGAGATGTTAGTTTTCTCGTATTTAATGGTAGTGGTTAAGGGAATTCAAAAATTTAATTTATTTTTGAAAACAAATCGAAAAATCCCGAGAAAAAAAAACAAAACGGATTTTGGACTTGTGTTTTGAAATAAAGAAGGATATTCAGAATTTTTCACAGATCTTTGGATTTTTTAAAGTGGTCTTTGCTATAATCGAGGTAGCGACCACCCTGTATACGATTTGGAGATATGACAGAAGGAACAGTTTTCTCGATGACGTAGTGAATCTACACTGGCTGCTGGAATTACTACTTCAGACTTACCTGTTTTTACTTCCACACGTTTTATTTTATAAAAATGTAGCTTTCACTGTTGTTCTTTCGTTATTTTTACGTTTTATTTTAGATGCTAGAAACAGTCGATATTTGTGAAGACGGACAAAGTCTTTCTGTTGATTATTATAAAGAGGTAAAATACGATTATAGCGTATTTAAAAAATTACTGGAATCTTTCAGAACGAAATGCTGCACTTGAGACTTGGCTTGACTAAAATTAAATTTACGACCTATGGGTTTTTAGAACTGGATTGGCCTTTACTATTTGTTGTAAGTTCAGCTACAAAAATAGCGCTAAAGTATGATTTTTTTTCAGATGTCTGTATTAATCTCGACGCACTTAATCTACTTAGTTCAGTTCAAACAAATGGAAAACTGAAAGATCAAGACTCCGTTGTTAGGTATTTTATAATTTTGGCAAGGTAGCTTTATTTTCAGTGTAATTTAAAATTGTTTGTTTTTCTGCGTTTTATATCCTCAAAATATTTATCAAACGAGGAAATTTGTAGCAAAGCGCAAAATAAACAACACTAACTTGACTTGAGGAATTCGCAAACACAGAATTATTAATCTTTCGAATTTTCATTAATAAAAAATCATTTTTGTTTTTTATTCCTTTTACGGACTGTTTTGTTAAAGTGTGTTTTTAAAATGTTGATAACCTCATCCAGTCTACACACAATTTATATTATAAGTAAACAAGGGACTGCGTTGGTAATAATTGAATCAATAACGTTCTTTTGTAGTAACAATCCACCCAGTGCTGCGCCATGAAGCAAAAATTAGTGACTATAATTGTTTACATATTTTTTGCTTGTAGATTCACCGGTTTGACTTCCTACTACGTTAAGAAAAATTCCCAGGGGGCTTTGTTTAAAACAACGAAATTATCGCGATGCGTCAATATCGCGATATTAATTATCATCGCAACTTTTTTCGTCAAGTTCGAACAGTGTGTTTTATCGAAAGATGCCATTGAGACGGTTTCATCACACATAGCTCATTTGATGTTTTTCATATATTTTGTAGTTTTGCTAACTATGACAAACTTAAAGCAGCGCCATATCGTACAAACTTTTGAAAAAATTATAATTTTTGACAATTTTATCAATGAAGTTACAGGACACAATATAGACGTTTCCAAAATTTTGAAATACTATGTAGCGGGGAAATGTTTAGGTGTACCTGTTATTGCAGCTCTTCATATGTTAATAAACGGCTTAAGAAATGTCATCGCCGTATCGTGTTTTTTGAGATTTTTCGTTGTCCACTTTATAATCGCCAGTGGGGAAGTTTTACTGTTTTGCTATTTAGTGGCAGCTATAAATGGAATGAAGAAGTTTAATTTTGTGTTGAGGAAACGTAAAGAAGTTCGAATCGAACAAATACAGCAGATGCTAGAGTTGTGTTTTGATATCAAAAAGGATATTGAGAGTATTTCGCAAATTTTTGGATTTTTTAAACTGCTTTTTTCTATAGTTGAAGTAGCGACTACTCTATATACGGTTTTGACTCGTCTGCAAAAGGACGATGTTTTGGATTATATAGCAAATGTGCACTGGATTTTCGAATTGTTTATGCAAGCTTGTATTTTTTTGGCGCCGTTCGTCATTTTTTATAAAACTGTAAGTTGTGGTTATTGTTTTCAATTTTGAAACGTTTTTTGTAGATTTTGGAAACTGTCGATATTTGCGAAGACATGCAATTTTCTTCCGCTTATTACAAGAAGGTAAACGTAAAATTTTTGTCTGATATGATGAGAGTCATTTCAAAATTTTTAGAGAGAAATGCTCCACTTGAAAATTGGTTTGACCCCAATTAAGTTTACGACCTATGGGTTGCTAGAGCTTGATTGGCCTCTAATATTTCTGGTAAATTACTCAATGTAGAAAAAAAAAAACTCATTTATATTTTTAGATGTTTGCACTAATTTCGACGCAGTTAGTATATCTCCTACAATTCAAGCAAATGGAGAAGTGAAATATCTTACCACAACATGTCGGTAAATTATCTAATGGTTTCCTGTTTTGTAAGCAATAACACATTTTGTGTGTATATTTACTATTGTAATTAAATTATAGTCCAACTAATGTTGTTAGTATGTTTACATTCAGACGCCTTTGTTTTCGAACCATACATATTGTCTTCATACAAAAAGATTACAATCAACGTTTATCCACTTAATTACAATTTTTAATACCGTTTATCTATATCTCGTTGTTTGTTTGGTCGAACTGACCCAATTAAGATGTTTTTTTTTCGTGTATGTATTTAAGTAACAATATTGACATACTGTATTGTCTACATAAGACCTATTTGACCGCTCATTTACTCATATTGGAAGCATGTTCGGGGTTGCTTGAAAGAAAACTAACATTAGTTGGCTTAGTCCTGAAAGCCATGACAAACAAATTAACAACCTACGTTTATTATTTATTCCCATTCGGTAAACTTCTTGAGTTGACCCCCAAATATTGACGAAAACAAAATTTTTGTTTTTACGAAAACTCCAATTTTTTCTATGAAATTTTTATTTATTGAACACAAAAATATTTTTTACAAGTGAAATAATTTAGGAAATTTCCTCTTGCTATTTAATATCGACTTTTTTTGTAAACATAATAATTTTCTTCGTTCGAATATTTGCTCATTTTTTATTAAATTACTTATTCCTGGACAAAGTGGATGTTATAGTTTGATTTCCCGCTCCTTTAAATGAAAATAGCCTCTTCATCATAACAAAATTTTCCGTTTTAATAAATTTTTTAGTTGTTTGGATTTTTATATTAACATCAAATTTCTGTTATCTCTACTTTTATACAAATCAAGGTCCAGTCAGTACACGATTAATTTTGAGCAACACTCATTCCGAAGAGGTGTTTTCTTGGCTGCACACCACACTGACGTCATCCGCGTCGAATTATTGAATCATGTAATGCTCTTAACGTTTTAAGCATCAGTTGAATGAGCACGCATCCAATAAGGCCTTTAATTTTTGGCACTTTTTGCGCGCCTCTTAAACAGAAAATCCTCTTTTCAACTTTTCTCCCTATTGAACACCTGATAAACAACCCCAATTTAATTAATGTTAAACGTCCGTCACCGGTACAAATTCAGCGAAGAATCCCCTCTTTTTTGAGTAATCATCCAGCCCGAGGGGCGCCGCCAGTTTCAAATAAAAGCACAGAAACGAGTCGCCAAATCTCCACTGTAACTTTCTGTATTAATTAGCGTTCGCCTTAATTACACGAACCGTCGAGTTTTGATAGGA